CACTGCGCCACCAGGGAAGCCCTGCTACATTATTTTTAGATCGTTGGTTTTTTCTTATTAATTTCTAGGAGTTCTTTGTGTAATACGGAGATTTATTCTTTGTGATATGTTTTCCACTTTGTCGTTTGTCTTTTAACATTACATTTTGTCATGCAGATGTTTTTCTTCCTTGAGTTCGATGATATTCCTATGGCTTCTAGATTTTGAGTCATAGCTAGAATGGTTTTGCAGTTTGATGATTAAAGAGGGCTCAGGATAACATGAGAGAAGGACTTGCCTGAGAAGGTATGAGGAAAAGAAAGAAGCGTAGTGATGTAAGCCCAGGTCTAGGCAGGGGTGATACTTGACTGCAGCAATGACTTTTATATAAATTGACTAGACTTGATTTTTGAAAACACTGAATCCATGTTTTATATTTATTCTTACTTACGATATCCTAACGTTATTTGTTAATATTTCATCCATAACTCTTGGCTTCGATATCTCCCTAGTTAGAGAGTCTTTTCTATGACTGTTTCTTATTAATCAGAAGATATTGGAGAACTACTATATACTTTTAAAGGATTAATTTTAAACCACATTTTTGACCTTGCTTAGATCATGATTCAAACAACCTACTGTAAAATAACATTTCAGGGACAGTTGGTATAATTTGAAAGTGGACTGGATATTAGTTTGGATTAAGGCCCATTATTTTGTTTAGCAAGATAATGCCGTGGTGGTTATGTTATTTTTTAGATAGACTTTATTAGTTAGAGATGTATGCTGACATATTTATGGATAAAATGTTATAAGAGATTTGCTTTACAACATTTCAGGAAAAAGAGTGGTGGGTGGGCGGGAGGATAGGGTATAGATGTAACCATATTGATAAAATATTGTTGAAACTAAGTGGTGGATAATGGGGTCTGTTATTCTCTTCTTTCTACTTTTTGTTTGTTTGAAATTTTCCATATTGAAAAGTTTAAAAAGACTAAATATAAAATTAACATAGAGTTATTGCAGAAAACTGAAAAATGGACAAAGGCTAATGGGAAAAAAAGAACGTTGGGCTTCCCTGGTGGAGCAGTGGTTGAGAGTCCGCCTGCCGATGCAGGAGACACGGGTTCGTGCCCCGGTCCGGGAGGATCCCTCATGCCGCGGATTGGCTGGGCCCGTCAGCCATGGCCTCTGGGCCTGCGCGTCTGGAGCCTGTGCTCCGCAACGAGAGAGGCCACAACAGTGAGAGGCCCGCGTACCGCAAAAGCAAACAAACAAACAAAAAGAACGTAATCCCACTAGCCAGACATATCTGCTGTTAACATTTATATCCTTCTGGTCTTTTTACCATGTATAAATGTGTACATATACATTAATTTAAAAAAAAAAAAAAAAGAACGTTGAGGTCGTTCAGTATGTAAATTTTCTAACCGAAAGGTACGTTAACCTTTCACTGATCTTGAGTGATGATAGTCCTCGTCGTCATTTTGCTGGTTCCGTAGCGTCTCAGTATACAGACGGATTACAGGTTATTCAGTTGTTTCACTGTTATTGGGCTTTTAGGCGGTTTCTTATTTTTCACCACCGTGAACATGAGTATCCTTACAGGTAAATGATTGTTCATATACAGATCCTTAGGCCTCGTTCCTAGAAATGGAATCATTGGGTTTCAGGGTACATACAGGGTACAATTGGATACAGATTTCAAGTGACCCTTCAGAAAGGTGGTACCATGTTGTACCTGCACCAGCAGCAAGTGGGAATACCTGTTCTGTACTTGCAAGGCCAAAAGACAGACTGGTGCAGAGCAGTAAAGAGTCCACAGGAGTGATGAAGTGTAATTGCTGTACAGAGGCATCTCTGATACTTACATTGGGTGCATTATTGCCTGGTGTGGTGGGGAAGGGAGGGTTAGTTGCAGTGGGCATCAGCATGGACACATAGCTTATGTTGTATCAGTGAAGGGGCTGCGGGCGTACGTAGCACCCCAGTGTCTCTGGTCCTTCAGGGGAATCCTTGATCTGGCCCAGAGCCCGTGGCTTCAGGTCAGTAGTGCATATTGTGCCGGTTACTCTCTCATTTTTACATTGTCGTGTCTCTTGGGCAGTTTCCATAGATACTTGGGCTGTATTCCTTAATCCATGTATCTGTGTAGGTAAGGTCACCAGGAAGGCCTCCTCCTGAATCACCTTTGAAGCCCAGCTTATCTTCCAACACTCTCAGCCTTGTTTCAGTACCTTTGGGTTTATCTTGGTGTTACACTTTGATAATCAATCTTGTTTGTTGCAAAATCTATATGGTGTTTAAAATTTGAGGCTTTCATAAAACAGTTGTTTAACATTTATCCGGGAACTACCAATTTATATTTATGTCCGTGCTCGTGTTCTGTATTCCATATGATTGCCTTGTTCTGTCCCATCAGCCAGTGGTATAGGCTGTCAGAGGACAGGATCCTGAAACTAGCTTTTTGTGTAAGAGACCCTAACTTAATAGTGGGCTTTTCTTTAGACTCTTGGTTCAAGTATAGAGTTTAATGTAGTCAAACAGGTAAGACAGTTAACTCAGAAGCAAATCAACAAGGAACCTAGAAAATAGTAGCCAAAACATAGTATTAGAAATACAATAAAATGCTTCCCACAGTTCTTTTTAAGGAAATTAGGTCCTAATGAAAACACCTTTGAACTTAATTGTCTGTTATTTTGTAGTAATCAAGCTTTTATCCCTTTGACACATCCCTGAAGGGTGTCTGAAGTCGGCCATCAGAATCGTTAGACACAGCTTAGCCCCCATGGATTTCCCATCTAGCGTGTGAACGTTTGTAAGAGTGAAAGAAATGATTATAAGCACACATACCTCCAAGGTCATTTGTTATTACATCACACGACTGCCTCCTTTTGCAAAGCTTAAAACAAAATGTATAGGAGCCCCCAAATTAGAGAGCTATCACTCAGAGGAGAGTTTATTTTTGTAATCTTTTTTTGGGTGTACTTGATGATTTTTTTTTTCTTTTTAAAAATGTAAATTTGGGGCTTCCCTGGTGGCGCAGTGGTTAAGAATCTGCCTGCCAATGCAGGGGACACGGGTTCGAGCCTTGGTCTGGGAAGATCCCACATGCTGCAGAGCAACTAAGCCCCTGCGCCACAGCTACTGAGCCTGTGCTCTAGAGCCTGCGAGCCACAACTACTCAGCCCGTGTGCCACAACTGCTGAAGCCCATGTGCCTAGAGCCCGTGCTTCACAACAAGAGAGGCCACCGCAATGAGAAGCCCGCGCACTGCAAGGAAGAGTAGCCCCTGCTCAACGCAACTAGAGAAAGCTTGCGCGCAGCAATGAAGACCCAGTGCAGCCAAAAATAAATTAATTAATTTTTTTTAAAAATGTAAATTTGCCCGAAGTTCTCTTCCAGGGCTTGGCCTGAATCTTCCCCATTTACCCACAGTTTTCAAACCCTCCCTGTGCACCTGGCTAGACTCTGCCCCACGTGCTAGGGAGGAAGGAACCTAGTGTTCTGTGAGGGGCTGAGATGTATGAGGCCCATTTTCTGCTTAACTCCATTTACACCTCAAAATGATATCGCGGTGTTACTAGTATCTGTGTTTTTAAGGCGGGGAAAAAAAGCAGATTTTGAAAAGTTCAGTAGCTTGACCAGGATCTCACAGGGAAGAAGTGGCAGCCGTAGCCTTGACATGAGGAGCTGTACGTCCCTCTGGAGCTGAGGTGTTTGGGGGGCAGCTGGGTACCGGTTGGATTGTGCAAATCTTGAATCTGAGTTTGTGTCAGCGTTTGGAGGAAGCCGGCAATGACAGGTTGGGGGCATCATTGCCTTTCAGCCATCATTGTACCAGGGCCAACCGTAATTGGCAATGCCTCCCCTTGCTCAGTAAAGCTATATTTTGATTCTTTTTCAGTGTCAGAGAATAGAAATTATAGGGTTCTAAAGAAATTTAAACGGACTAAAAAGGTTTTAGTGCCTTTTATTTCTCCCTGTATTAGTTTCCTAACGCTGCTCTAACAAAGTACCAAAAACTAGGTGACTGAGAACAACAGAAATGTATTATCTTACAGTTCTGGAGGCTAGAAGTCTAAAATCAAGGTGTCAGCAGGCTTGATTTCTCCCCAGGGCTCCGAGAGAGAATCTATTCATTGCCTCTCGCCTATCTTCTGCAGTCTTTGCTCTACCTTGGCTTGTAGATGCATCACTTTGATCTCTGCCTTCATTTTCACATGGTGTTCTTGTGTGTGTGTGTGTGTGTGCGCATCCAAATTGCCCCTTTTCATAAAGACACCAGTGATACTGGATTATGGCCTCATTTAAAATTCAACCCATTGTGCTGTCAGTAATCATAGTGCCAATATGGTACCCACGGTCCTCCTGAAGACAGGATTGGGTTCTCCATTGTCCAGATGCTCCAAGGCCTCAATGTTGCTTTCTTGATTCGGGGGTTAGTTGACAGACCTACCCACAGCCGAGTCTCTGCCACCCGAGCAGGCTAGGTTGGGGAATAAAAGAGATTCTGAGCTTTTTATTATTACTTGGTGCAAAAATTATAAGCCCTTCGTGACATCCAGTAATTGTTTTCCGTTATTTGAGACATTGAGGGGTACTCTTCCGTCTTATTCTTTTGTATCAGCAAAGCAAGAACACGAGCGTGCTTTCTAAACAAAGAGCAGCTTTCAAGCAGGGAATTTGTGGTCTTCCAAGTTACCCCTTCTCTGGGAAGCATCCTTTGCTCGAGAACAATAGACATTAGTTACAGTCTGTTAATTCCTCCCGTTTCCCAGGGGGAGGGGATTGCGGCCACAGCGCTGTTGGGGAGTTTCAGAGACTATGTTAGAGTTTTTCATAAGGAGCTCCTATAACACCAGAGGAGGCGTTCTAGGCGACCTCGAGAAGGGGGTCTTTTAGTTTCTCCAGGCCTTTGCCCTCCCCACCCCCACCAAAGTATTACTTCCCTTGGGGCCAGGGAGTGAGTGGCAGGTCTGTGGGAAGAGCCATTCTCACTGTGCGTGTGTGTCGTGCAGACACCAGCTGGAGACACCGGGACATTACTCTCGTCTGGCTGCATTCTACGAGGACAAGAAGCGGGTGCTCCATGCCAGTCCGGGGAGAGGTGGCAGCCTGCCTCCTGTCTACTGGCTGCCTTCCATCCACCGGTACATGTACCCCGAGATGAAGGTAGGTCAGCCCCGGACTTAGGTCTGGGGACAGCAGTTGTTGATTATTGTTTTCATGAATAAGGAAATTGTGTCTTGGGCTGGTGCCCACAGTCTGCTTTTGATAGAATAGGATTGTAACCTAAGCATTTGATTCTTTTAAAACATAAGGCAGGTTATCTTAAACTAATATGCTTTCTAATGCTTCTGTAATCATGGTGCAGAGCCGTATTGATAGGCCAGTTGTGGTGGACTCCTGGTCTAGTGATTGCTTCAGGCAGTTTAAAGGCAGACATTTGAACTAAAGATGAAGCGTTTGAGCAGTTAAGGTATTTCTTAGTTACAGTAGTTGCGGTATTCCTTTATTGTGTATTTTCTTTCCGAAGCACTTTGTAAATACTAGAGTATGTTTATTTACCATTAACGACACACCCAACCCAGTGTTAGGCGTAGGGAGGGTACAAAGATCCCCCCTCCTCCTCCTTTTCCCCCCATCCCCCCTCCTCCATCCTGCGCGTCCTCCTTCCCATCTCCCGCCCCCTACAGGTGGTCACAAGATACTTCAGTGGAAACTTCAGGCTCCCTGGCAGAGAGATTATGCCATGAGTTCTAGAGAACTCTGGGAAGGCATCTTGCAAGAGGAGTTGGTCCTTGAAGTATTTGGCTGGGGGAAAGTGAGGGGAGCTAATTCCAGACTGAGGGGAAGGCATGAGCGACAGTGGGGACCATGGTCCATCACTTTGTCAGCACCTTCTGTGAGTTAGATATTCTGCTGGCTATTTATCAGTACCTGCTGCAGCACTCTTTAAAGTGGATTTTTTTCTTTTTAAATCCATGTTTTACAGATAAACCAGTTGAGGTTTATAAAGGTTCAGTGACTTGGTTAAGGCCTTATAGCTAGTAGGAGATAGAGCCAGGATGTAAACACAGGCCTGATGCCAAGGCCCGCGCTCACTCCTTACCCCACTCCACTGCCTTTGTGAGGTCGTGGGCGTGAGAAAGCCCAGGGCAAGTTCATGGGATGTGAGCAGAATGGTTTGACTGGGATTGAATTTCAGCGTCAGCTGGCCAGGAGAGAAAGGATTGGAAAAATAGGTTGGAATCAGATTGTAGAGAATCTTAAATACTAGACCATGGAATTTGAACCTGAATAAGTACCAGTTATGGTCTTGTTAGGAAAACACAAACTATGTCAGATATTTCAAACTTATTCAATACAGGGAATTGGTAATACAGGAATTGGAAAACCAAAGGCACAGAAAGGTAACAAGATAACCTAAACACCAGAAATACAGACAGTGGCTACCACCCTATATTAGTTATCTGTTGCTGCATCACAAATTGCCCCCAAATTAATGGTTTAAAACAGTACATATTTGTTTCTGTGAGTCAGGGATCCAGGCATGGCTTAGCTGGGTCCTCTGTTTCATGGTCTCTCATGAGATTGCAGTCAAGGTTGGGATCTTATCTGAAGGCTTGACTGGGTAAATATCTAATTCTGAGCTCACGTGGTTGTTGGGAGGATTGAGTTCCTTGAGGGCTGTTGGACTGAGCGCCTTGCGGACTATTTGTTGCCCCCAGTGGGTCTCTCCGCAACATGATGGCTTGCTTCATCAAAGCCAACAAGTGAAAAAGACTGTTGGCGAGATGGAAGTCATAATCCTTTGTATCTAACTGTGGAAAGTCACAGCCCTGCCACGTGCTCCCGGGGCTGGAGTAACAAAGAGGGAAAAGTGACGTTATCAAAACCGCAGGAGCCGGAGGAGGGGCCCTGCACTGCTGGCGCTCAGACCGCTGGCACTGTGCACCTGCAACGTATTAAGACATTTTAAGTGTATAGTTTGGTGAATTTTTTACAAAGTGAACACATACATAAAGAAAAATTTTAAATAAGCTTATAAAGTAGAGGTCAGATATAAGACTGTTACAGAGGGAAAAAAAAAAAAAACCTGGAAAGTGAGAGGAAGGCAGGATCGCAGTCTCTGAGGCCCAACAGTGGCTGGTATATTGTTCCCCCAGGGAAATGGGAAAGTGGGAGAGAGACAGAAATGGGGGTAGTGAGTCACGGGAGCAGATGCATTTCCTAGGGGGCTGCAGGTAAAAGGTGAGGGACGAAGCGTGAACCCCGAGGGGCTTGCCAGCAATGGTGAAAGAACAGGAAGAGGAGAGCGTACCTGGCATGAAAGGGCAGAGGGAAGACAGGTGGGAACTGGGCAAGTCAAGAGAAGCAGCTGCAAGGCCACGAGAAGGGAAACGGCTTGGAGCGAAAGCAGGAGAAATGTCGGTGGCGCAGTGCAGCTGGGCCGGAGACGGCTCGAGGCGCAGTCTGCGGGGCCTCCTCTCTCCGAAGTGAGGAGGGCCCCTCGCCGGGCCCAGGAGGGGCTGCTTCTCGTACCTGCAGGCCTCCACACGCCCTCCTGCAGTCCCCTGGAACCCCCTACCATCGCGGCTAGTATCAGCCTGGCCTTTAAGGGCTTGTGCACCCGCCTCTGCCGCCAGCCTGTACACTGTGCCAGGGCAGGGCCTGGCCTCGTGTTCATTGTGGGAGCCAGACTGCTTAGCTCAGGGCACAAAGCGAGCACGTGGGAAATGCTTCTTGCCAGAAGGCACACGTGTCCCTGAATGAATGAATAAATAGGTACAGGCAGAATTGAGGACTGCTGGTTTACTCTAGGATTCTAGGGCCCAGGACACATTTGGACAAAACCCTGTCAGGCCTTCATGCAGGGGAAGCACACGTTTAGGGCGTGAAGATAAGCAGAGTGGGCGCTGAGAAGAACCTGAGGGGCTTTGGCTCTGTTCTGTCTGGTTGGCGGGCGGAGGCCGGTGTGGGCTGAGCGGAAGAGTCAGGAGAAGGGAGGGAAGCAGAGGATGCGCGGATTTCACGAGAGAGTGCGACTGGACGCGGTGAGCAGCCGTGGTCGTGCACTGCCCCTCCTCCCGGAGAGCTGGGATGTGGTGGCAAAGGAGTGGCGGAGGGCAGGCGGGGCCCCTCGGGGGACAGCCCTTCCGCAGGCACGGGGCGGGGGGTGGCTGTGGTGCGGGGCGATGCCTTGGGAAGGGAAGCCCTCTCCCGGGTGGTCCGGAGGAGGGGGCCTGGCGGAGCGCTGCGGCCACCCCGGGGCTCGGGTGGCGGGTGCCCCAGAGGGCTGCCAGGTGTCACACCCAGTGCGCGGCCTTGGTGCCGGGGGCACCTGCCTCCAAAAGCGCTCTCACCTGCGTCCCGAACGGCTGAAGAGCAGTGTCACTTCTGACGCTTTAGCATGAAAGTGACCTTCCAGAAGGCTCACAAAGCACCTGGCTTGAAGCCTCATGTCTCAACGGCGACAGTTGTGGCTGCTGCATGTGGCTTTTCCCACGTGCTAAGGGTTCCACACAGTTTTTCTCAAATGGTCCTTCTAGCCAGATGAAGGATGTGACAGTGGTCTCCTGATTTTACAGATGAGGAAAGAGAGCCCGAAATGTTGGCTGGCTTTCCCGAGGCTTCCCTGTGAGTAGAGGGCAGAGCAGGACAGGTCCCCAGCTTTCCCCTGGTTCAGAGCTCGAGCTCCTGACCCTGGGATGTGCCTTGGCGGCAGGGGCCCGGGAGGCGACCCTCAGGGTTGAGGGTCCTCGCGTCCAGCCCTGAGAGGAGGCGGGGGTGGGCTTAGGTGCGGGGGCTTGTGTCGGGGAGCCCCGTGGGGTAACCTGTCATCTGTGCCCACACGCCATCTCGCACGGGAGCCGGGTCCCTGTACGCTTGGGGTCTCACCCGGAACTGTCGGCGCATCCTTTTCTTCCTTCCGGTGCTCGGTCGGGTTGGGAGCTGAACGTTCTCACTGAGGTGTCCGTCACCTCGGAGAGCGTCTCAGAAGTTACGTGCAGCTTCGCTTCCTCCGTGCCGCTCCCCCGGGTGAACTAGTTTATAAGATCCCTAAGCTCACGCTTGGGCGTATGAGGGGAGCTGCTGAGTGATGGGCCTCTAGTGTAAAGAGCAGACTTTGAAAGTGAAAAATACCATTTTACGGGGAAGTAACCGTCCCTTATTGAACCTGTTTGCTGGTACCTTGTTTTTTTTCTGTTGTCGTTGTTGGCAGGGTAAGGGGTAGTTAGCATACACCTGTATTGAATATTTTTTGCAATATTTCTAACAAGCTATTCCCCTCCCACCCCCTTTCAATTTTTTCAGATCACACACCCAGCTGGCTGCATGTCTCAGTTTATTAAGTTCTTTGGGGAACAGATACTCATCCTTTGGAAATTTGCCTTACTTCGAAAGCGCATTTTGATATTTTCTCCCCCTCCAGTGGGCGTCGTATGCTATAGAGGTAACTAGAAGCCAAACTCAGGGTCTCTTCCCAAGTTCTCTGCAACAGAAACTGCCCCAGTCTTTCCAGTGTTGACCAAGGCCAGAAGGGATTGAGTCATATCAGGGCCTCAGGGGTTTTAAGCCTGGGAGTGACGCGGTTGGATTAGTATTGTAGAATGTGGACTCTGGCAGCACGGAAGACAGATCGGGTAACACGTCAGTGGTCTGGTGAGGGAGAAGGGTCTGGGTTAAAGCAGAGAGGATGGATGCTTGATATGTTTAAGAGAGAAACCTGGCAAAGCCTGGCGTCTGGGTTGTAAGGTTCTGATGTATGTGAGGTAACGGAGGCAGAATCTAGGATGCTGAGGACGGTGAGGCCACCAGGCGGGGGACCAAGGAGGAGCAGGTGGGGGGCAGTGTGACAGAGTTACCTTGGACGTGACGAGTGTGTGCTGCTCTGAGGCCTTCTCGAGCGGTACTCTAGGCACTGCTACAGTTGGGTCAGGACCTCGGGGGACAGGCTGGGCCACAGAGACAGACCTGGGGGTAGCACAGAGGCCGAGCTGATAGCCAGGGGGCGGGTGCCGTCATTTGGGGAGAATGTGAGTGAGGAGGGACGTGCCAGCGTGTAAGAAAGATGCAGGCCTGGGAGGTGAGCCAGTGAAGGCGGAAGGCAGAGGGGGTGTTGGCGTGCAGTCAGAAGAGGGGAGGGGACCAGGAGATGCGGGGGTCGCGGTGGGTAAGAGTTCTGAGAAGGGAGAGGGTCACCACCGCCAAATGCTAAGCAGGGCCTCGTGAGACGAAGACTGAAACATGTCCGTTGGGTTTGAGCACCTTGGTGGAGCTGACAGCTCCAAGAAGGTGGCTGGCAGGCTGGGACAGAGGGGCCGGAGGGGCCCGGGCGGCCTCACCTCCGCTGTCCCCGCAGTGTACTGCTGCTGCTGCCTGGCCAACGTCTCCCTGCCTGGCATTGGGGGCACCGTTCCCGAGTCCAAGCCTTTCTTCTATGTGAACGTGGCCGACATCGAGAGCCTGGAGGTAGAGGTGTCCTACGTGGCCTGTGAGTACGGGGCCTGCCCCATCCTGCCCGCACATCCCTGGCGGGGTCGCCCGGGGCCCTCCTTCCCGGCAGTATCGGGCTGGTTCCCTGTAGGGCCGTCCTCCGGGGTCCTGCCGTCTGAAGCCCAGCTCCCGCAGGCACCACCGAGAAGATTTTTGAGGAGAAGCGGGAGCTGTACGACGTCTACGTGGACAACCAGAATGTGAAGACGCATCACGACCACCTGCAGCCGCTGCTGAGGATCAACAGTGCCGACCGGGAAAAGTACCGGCGGCTCAACGAGCAGAGGTAGATCAGAGCCCGGGGCTGCGGGGCTGCCCTTGTCGGGGCAGCTGGGGGGTGGCTCCCGTCAAGCCCGCCTGCCGCCCCTTCCCTCGGGGCACATTTCTGCCGCTCTGCCGGGAGCCGGCGTGAGGAGGCTCCCAGCACATGCCGGCGGGCGGCAGGCCCGTGTGGGGAGACTCCCTTCTGGCAGCCTCTGGAATCTGTGAGGCCCGAGGAAGCGTGTTGCTATCAGTGGCGAAATAAATGGCCTCATCACCTCATCCCTATTTTATGACAGTTAGGAAAGGTGGTCACTTGAGTGGGATTACACACAGGCAGAACCAGCCCTGGACTCCAAGCCCCGTTTATCTCTGCTGCTCTCCCTGCCTTTGGACGGGGGCCAGGGTGCATGTGTCGCTCTCCTGAGAGGCGGTGGCCCGTGCAGATGCCTGGCCAGTGACCTAGCCCATCGCTGGGGTGGGTCCTCGTAGCTGCGCCAGAGGCTGACGGGCGTCTCCTCCCCGACAGGCAGATGCTGTTGTATTCCCAGGAGGTAGAAGATTGTAACCCTTGTGAAGAGGACCTCTTTGTGCTGTAAGTCGGCCCAGGCGGCCGTCGCGGGCCTCCCCGTGGGTCCCTTAGCACTAACGGCTTTAGCCTGGATCCCTCCCGTGTTACCTGCTGCAGCCCAAGGATGCCCTTTATTGCCACCAAGGGCACTTAGAGCTGGGCTCCACACAGAGTCAACCTGAGCCTCAAAATGCTGTTACGGGGACCCAGAAAAGTTAAAAGCAGCAGGGGAAGGTTTTTAAGAGAAAATGGGAGTCCGCGCAGCTGTCTTCCTGCTGGGCATTTACATCCAGATGTCTGCTGCGTAGGAGCTCTGTGTGTCCCTCAGGATGCAGGGACTTCTCATTCCATTGCTTCCTTTGAATGGAGCAGTTCCTTGTACTGAGTATTATGGGCTAATCAGAAACTTAACTCCTGAATCGAAGGACATTTCTTTCCTTCAGAGCTGTTGGTGGTCAGGGTGGGAGCCATGGCCTTTATACCTCGTAGCACCGATCTCATTCATAAGCAGCTGTGTGAAATAGTGCTCAGTGATAAGAACAGAATTATAATTGAACCAGAAATAATTTTCCCAGCTTCCGGCTTGGTCTTCCTGCCCCGCCTCCCGGGATGGGGGTGGGGAATAGCACTTGCAGTTAGAACTGTTTCTGGCTTTGATATTGGCTTTGATAATTCAACAAAGGTGCAGTACTTTGATTCTAATAAAGTGTACTTTCTAATGCATACATGCTGTTTAGCTGTAAAAGTATCTGGGAACTGAGCAGAGAACCAGCAGTCTCATCAAGGCTTGACACAGTCTATTGAATCTGACATTCCAGAGCACCCAGAGCTGCTTTGGGCACTAGGCACCTTGCTCTATGGAACACAGCTGAAAAGTCTAGACAGTTAATGCCTTTTCTGACTACAGTTCATGTATTCATACAGTACTTTAAGTTTGTGACATCCAAATCATGCTCTGTGCATAATTAAAACAGAAAAAGCAATCGAAAGCACACAGCTGCGTACAGATGGTGGTGAGCTGTGGCGATACCGGTACCTCCAGGCTGACTCCCCTTCTGCCTTCACTGCCCGCTCCAGCAGGGCTGGCTTCAGGTGGCCCCGTGCCCGCCGCAGCGCCCCTGAGCTGTGTGGGTGCCTCAGGGCCTGGAGAGCCAATTCAGAGCCCTTCTCTGCCTCTAGGAAGGCTCACCTCCTGCTGCGGGCTCTACTTACCCAGCCAGGGCTTTGAAGGTGAATTTCACTTTCTCACATTAAGTCTTGACCTCAGAACTGCGTTATCAGTTTTTTTGGTTTTGTTTTCTGTCCTCCTCTTCCCTTTATGACTAAGCAGAAAGAGAGGAACAAAGTTTATGGGGGCCTCTCCCTACAGCTGTGTTTAAACCCCTAGTGACCTCCCTCTCAACAGGAAAATAAATTTTTGCCAGTCAGGCCATCAGTTGCTTAGAGATTTTGCTCATTGTACCATGGTTAACGCCAGTTCTTTGCTGACCTTAGCGGCACTTGAACAACCGTTTAACTTTTATCCTGTTTTCTTCTTTTAAAAGATAATGTCTGAGTTTTGAAACCATTTAAAAGTACATCAAGCAAAGCAGTGTAGTTTTGGTTCCCCATGTGCGGCTTACTTGGTGAGCTTTCGTGTCTTTTCTGCCCTCCCTTTCCCACGTCTTGTCTTGTGAATGCAGGTTTTTCCTAGAGCAAAACAATCGGATATTTCAGACTTTACTGGAGGTGTCCGCCAGTCAAGACAAAACTCTGACAGCTGAGCATGCCCGGGGCATGGGTCTAGACCCCCAAGGAGACCGGAGCTTTCTTATGGACCTGCTGGAGGCCTACGGCATTGATGTCATGTTGGTCATTGACAACCCCTGTTGCCCATAGGAAGGATGAGTTCACCCAGGCCCCAGATGGCCTCATTTTTAATTAAGTTGACACAAAGGAATACTGTTTATACTTCCAACAAATGTCACTTTTGCATCGCCTTCCCTCCCTCCCTCCCTCCCAAGAGGTAAGATGAGAGCACCTTGGTTTTGTAGGTCGTTGAAAGCTACCGCCTTCAGAGCTGCCGCCGGTTTGGTCTTAGGAGTTATCAAAGAAGATTCTCTCATTGCCTTGTTGAGGGACTTGAGGAGATGGGGCGAAGGCCGCATATCACCAGGCGCGGGCCGAGCTCTGGAAACGTGGGGCTGGACTGTTGAGAAAGTCTGTCTGGTCTGTTGCTTGACATATCAAGAATAAGACAGCTGTCCATCCAGTGTGGCGTTGGTTGTCCTGAAGCAGAAGCTAGACCAGGTGGCCTTTCAAGGTTATTTTAATCAGTTCTGGGAGTCTAGTCTTGGGATCAAATCCCTTTTCCTGTCTATTAGAGTAAATCTGTGTTTTCTCTGTTCACATAGGTAAGAGACTTCAAAGAGGGACAAAGGATATTTCTGTCACCAAGTGTGAGCTTCTCTAAGGACAGATGACAGGGAGAGGTTGCTTCTCAGTCACCTGAGAGCTAAAATTGTAGAATGAAGCCTTGAAACCTTTCTCTGAGTAAGTTAATGGTGGCCAATCCACGTAATAGTCCTTTTTCTCTGAATCCCCTCCTCTTGGGGACGGGCTGGCAGATTCCTTCGGGCCGATGTTAACAAGAGTGTGTACCAGTTTGGAGCGCTCGCAAACAGACTTCTCTTTAGCAGAGACGACATTTGTCGAGCTGAGTAATTGGGACCAGAGATGTACAGGTTTGTTAGCAAACGTGGCAGTCCCTCCACCCAGGAAAGTAGTTGGGAACCCTGAGTGTGAGTGATGAGCTCCTCTGCTTTGCTCTGGAGCGTTCTGACCTGGGACAGCTCCTGTCGGCCCTGCCTGTTCTCTTTGGCTGGGGCGTTCAGTGGTTGCCAGCTTAGGTGAGACAGCCAGTCTGTTAGCCAGAGAAGCTAGCTCCTGGAGTAGCGTTTAGGTCTTTTGGGGTCTGTTTAGGATTTTGACTTGGGATCCTGGGTTGTTGGTGACAAATAACTTCTTGCCCTTCACCGTTCCTGCCTGGCTCTGTTATTGGAATAGCCATCCATATATTCCATGTCTGGGACCAAGTTCCAGCCAGGCAAATGTACACAGCAGAGAGGAATAACTTCCAAATAGATGGATCACATGTCTTATCTCAAGACTAGCTTTATAGGGCTTATTGCTTTATTTAAAAATATTTTCACTGGGGCTTCCCTGGTGGCGCAGTGGTTAAGAATCCGCCTGCCAATGCAGGGGACGCGGGTTCGAGCCCTGGTCCGGGAAGATCCCACATGCCGTGGAGCAACTAAGCCCGTGCTCCACAACTACTGAGCCTGCGCTCTAGAGCCCGTGCTCCGCAACAAGAGAAGCCACCGAAATGAGAAGCCTGAGCACGGCAACGAGGAGTAGCCCCTGCTCGCCGCCACTAGAGAAAGCCCATGTGCAGCAACGAAGACCCAACACAGCCAAAAATAATAAATTAAAAAAAAAAATTTTTTTTCACCGTAGCTCCTTGACATGGAATTGAAGACTAAAGAAATTCGCATGTGGAAATGCACACAGACATTGATTAATCAAGGTAGCATCTTTTATGTGAGTATATAAGTCAGTTGGGGCACTGAATAGTAAACTGTACATTTTTCTGCCCTGTGGCTTTAGCCTTCATTTCAGTAATACATATGTTTACAAAAGAAAAAAAGAATCTGTGTTTAGAAGCTGAAGCTTCACTGCCTTTTTCCTGGAAGAGTGACCGTCCCCTCTCGCCCCTGGAGAAGTGGCCTTTCTAACTTTGGTCAAGTCATGGTTACTTTTATACTTTCAGTGGTATCCGAAGGCTCAGGGCTTTCTGAGTTGGGGGTGGGTGGTCAGAAGTAGGGGCGGGCGTATAAGGGAAGGTCAGATTCTCGTGGAGGACACAGGCAGACCCTCTTTCTGTGCAGCTGGGGAATTTGTTGGGAGAATACTCTTTTTAAGCACTTCTGCTCCAGAGGCCTTCTGCGTGTGAACGCTTTTGTTTTTGTGGTATTGGAACTCCAAGCTCAGACGTGCTGATGTAAAGGTAGTAGGATGAAGATGAGATTCCTGTATTTCCCTTTGAATGGTGGGCCCAGGCTTCTGTGCTCCTTTCAGCTCCCTGCTGTCCTAGGCAGCTGTCCATCTGGCATCTCTGTGTGTCCCCCTGATGCTTACGCAGAGGTCTGGGCTGGGGGTGGTCCTGGGAGGGGTGCACCCATGAGGCAGTGCCACTGTGAGGTCATACGCACCCTGGGCTCGGCCGACCTTGAAGAGGAAACCCAAGAATTGGTTCTTCCCTGCATTGCCAGCTTCCTGTGGAGGGGGGGGGGGGGGGGGGAGGGAGGATTCCAGGAGCAAGTGATGTCTAAGCAGAGGGGGCAGGAGTCTAGTGCAGCGCCCTCTGCTGGGCCGGCCGGCGGGCTGTTGCCCTGTGGTTACCCTCGTCACTGCCTGTCGTCCCCCAAGAATGCAGATGTGGAGCCTCCTGCTTCCGAAGTCAGAGGTCACCGTTTGAAGGCTCCCGCCTTCTCCCTGATCTCTCAGGAGAGCAGCACCCACAGCGTCACTTGCTGCCAGGTCCCTGAAAGGGGAGTTCGTAGGTGAGGTATCAGGCACGACTCCCTGCACAGGGACGGCAGAAGCTAGAAGCCACACAGACCTGCTTTCGTGTCACTGTGGAAATATTTTCTGAGAAACCCCCTGCTTTTGTTCGGAAGCTTTGGAGAATGTCCCCCTTCCCTGCCCCCGAAGGAACAGGGCTTACCGTTACGACTGTGGCTTTCTGGAGCAGGTCGGGAGCCTCGGGTACACTGACTGATGGTGGCCTCCTGTCCCTCTAGACCCTTGGACCACCTCCCTCCCTCCCCACGGCCCACCGTGCCAGCTGGCTCGGTCCTGCTGGGGAACTTTAAGCCTGATCTAACGCCAAGCTGCGAGCCACGTCCTAACTTGGAAACACTGCTGACCTGAGACACGGGGGCTGCCAGGTCATCCCTGAGTCAAGTTAGAAGAAACTCTCGGTGGCGAGAGTCCTTGTGGGACCTAGAATCCAGGCTTGGGGTTTGTCGATGTCTGTAAGGTACGACAGAGTTCTGGTCAAATGGATTTTTCACTTGTGCAGGCTGGGCAGATGGTACCATTCAGCCTTTGGGACAATGTCCAGTTGTCCTCTGGATTAGGACTCTTCAGGAGTCAGAAATGGTAGGACTTATCTTTCACCAGACCAAAAAGTATGGGCCAAATAATAGTTTAGAATTAGCTTTGGCTTTTGCTAAGCGTGAAGCACTCCATAGGCCTGGTGTAGATCCCTTCTAGTGTTAAGTGCCTGTACAGTCCTTGGTGAGTTAGGATTGCTGTGGATCAGCAGGCATGTCTCCCGTAGCCATCCTTCATCCTGGCATCATGTCTTCCATTTGGCTGAAGAAGGGATGCTAAACTCATTGATATATCGATAGAAATAATTTAGCATAGGAATTTGCATTTATAACTTACCTTGTTTTGTCCCCCGTGAAAATCAAGATGGGGAATTTAAGTATAGCACAGGGTGCAGATAATTCTCAATACCACGTGTGAAGATTCATTTATCAGTGTAACTCCCTATGATATTTTAGCTAGAAGATAAAGATCAATGAAATCATAGCTGAATCACTGTTTTTCATTCTGGTGGTTATGAGGATGAACTTGCTGTTTGTCTTGATACACTGAAAGCCCTTCAAACGCAATAAAAAGGTAAGATTATTCACCTTTAAACCGAGGCCTTTGGGGAACCTTTTGTAAAGGGCAGTGAAGAGTTAACCTTTTAACGGCAGTACAGCAACCCTCCAGGAAGAGGCGGGGACCTCAGGGACTGTTTGTTTTGTTTTGGTTTGTTTTAAATGAAACTGCAGAGCCCAGGGAATGAACTGAGGCGCTTCCTCCACTCCCAGGACGGATCATACTTGCAGAGGTAGAGGACGGGGAGGGCGCTGCTGAATAAAGTAAGACAGTGAACTTGCTTTGGTGTGATGACAGTTCTCAAACAGGCAAGGTTAGTATGGGGACTGGCGTGTCTCACATGGGCTTTCATCTCCCCGTTAGCTTCCTGGCTGGTGGGCTCAGACTCTGCGAAAGGGCCAGTCCTCGGGTGTCCCTGCA